CCAGGAGCTCCTTGTTCATCCCTGCAGGCCTCCTGGCGTTTTTGCCTGGCTTCCTCTTTGTTGAGATGCATCGCTCCTGAGCTTGAAGGAGGTGATCCTTGAATATTACCCAGCTTTCTTGGGCCCCTCTTCCCTCTGGAGCCTTGTACCGATATCTTATTTGTGACATGAGTGAGTTACCGTACTAAGAATACACAGGTAGAGTTTCCCAGTTACGAGTTTGATTTGGAAGTATTATGTGTTCTTAATTTGGACACAGATTGTAGCAATTCTATCAATTAATTTTACCCTCACACAATGTGATGACCATCTTCCTTCTGATACACTTAAGAGGACTTATGCTATAAATAGTCTTCTTGACACCAGCAAGAATTTTATTCCCTTCACGGTCTTAAGCTTCTTAACAGAACTTCTCCCATTTTAAGTTGACTCCTTTTTGAAGTTGAGCACTGTCACAGAGCTTCTTGGGTTTTGCTGTTCCAGTATGAACACTGATTTTATACTGTGGCCATACGTACAGGAAGGTCCTCTGAAATAATTTGAACAACCAGCCACAAACCAATTAAGACCAAGCAATACCTAAACTATTTGTCTTCACACTGCACTCCAACAGGAATCACCCAATCCCCAGTCTCCACTAGAAAGTTCCCCTTTACCATTACATTTCCTGAGATGATACTTCACAGCATTTCTGACCATTCTGAGAACGTTCTACTCACTATTGAACGGAGCAGCTGGTTAATCAAGCTATCTTTTTTTAGTAACACTAAAACTTCAACTCATATGAACTCTGCATTATTTGCTTACACAGTTATCAGTTTCAAAATAAGCTTCCATTCATACAGGACCACTATTTTACTGGCACAGACTATTCAGTCATTCCTGTCTACATTGTCCCGGGGTTCAAAAGACTGTCTTCTGCCTACCAAATTTCTGAGATATTGATATACTAGGCATGTAATTTAAAGTCAGGCACTCTAGTTCCCTCATCTTATTACAAAAATATTTAGCATGTATGCTAGCAGAGATTCATTTTAATTTTGTATTGTCTGTGCCTCATTTGAATAACCCTGTGAGTAGTAAGACTATTCATTACTATCTCTTATGTAAGCTTCTACTGCTCCTGACCTATACTTTGCTCAAGGATATAATATTCATATGAATTCTTCCTAGAATATACGTCAATCTAAGTTGTATGTTCTTGTGTACCTTTTGGCATCAATTTTAAACTAAAAGGCAGAAGAAAAAGATTACAGAGAAGTTCAATCATAACTCACAGCTTGGGTGTGTGTGTGTCCCCGCAATAAAACACACCTCTGTTTCCGATGACTTCCCCAGCTCCAACGAACCTCATCTTCTAAGCCATATAGCAAGACCTTGCCTTGTCCATAGCACGATACTAGGAACACTTCAAAAAATACGGGGAAGATGCTAGCCTTCTCTTTCCTACCAACCAGCTTAAGTTTTCCCTCCAGAACCTTTCTCCTGACTCTTCCTTTGTTGCTGGTATCCAGCAACAGTTAAAGTTTCTTGAGGCTTTTATACCTGGATCTCAAAGCTCCATGCTATCCCCTACAGTATCACATATCCAGCTGTCTCTGTGTCTGAGCTTTCTACAGTGTTCATCCACTCAATACCTTCCAGTATCGCAGAGGAGGCTCTTGGGGTGGAACTGCTATTAGAGAGACAGCATTTCTGTATGACACTTCCCAGATTCTCCCCTGTAAGGCACTCTCATTCTTCTTCTACTGGAGATGCTACCCA